CCCAGATTGTGGAAGGAAAATAGCTGGGGAAAAATCTGTTTAGAGATGTCCCCAAATTCTTAGTCTGAGAATTCAGCTCTAGCACTATTCACAAACATCTCCCAGACTCTATTATCTCAAAAGAACCTCTTTCACTTACTCTTTACTAATCAAGGTGCTGATGAAACTAAGCAAGGCTACATTTCACATTAAACAATGGGATTTTCATGAAAGTATGACAGGTGTTCCAAAAACAGAATAGACAAATAAGAAAATAAAATAAGCAAACACTTGTTAGGGGATACAGGCAAAGAGCAGCAGGCCTTCTGATAAGCAACTCCTAGGAAAGTCCATCTGACATCCATTTATATCCTGTTCTTCTCCAGAATATTTTCTGAGATCTAGAGTGTTGCCAGTGGTGAATTGTGCCTTAGATGCTTCCATGAATCAGACTCCTCTAGGCAGAAAAAGTCTGTCCTCTCATCATTTATTGCTTGTCCTTTTTTTTTTTTTTTGTGGACTTCATACAGGGTTTCAGGACTGAGTTTTGACTGAGCAAAAATGCAAACTGATGTAGTTCCTGCCAAGTAAATTTGCAAGTGAAAGAACTGGGCCACATTTGCATTAGTTCTTTTTTCCTACAGAGCTGTCCTATAAAATATTTCTATCAGCATGTGATGGATATAGAGGAAAACTGACACTCCTAATATCATATTTATTATTAAAAGGTGTATGTTGCCCTTCAAACAGTTTTCCCAAGGTAGTTTATGCCAGAAAATATAAATAAAACAACGTATCAGCAATAAAAGCATAAACAATAGACAACTTGGTTAAAAATGTCATTATGTTACATATTCTCAGTTTAATATATTGAAAGGTTTGGGGCATCCATGGCCAGTAAATCTTATTAGCATCAATCCACATGGGCAAGAAAAGGCTGGGTGCAGAAATGTTGACCCATTACATCTTTCCTTCATTTACTTTCCTATAAAATAGATTGCAGGAAGCCTAAAATCAGCCATTAGGTTTCTTCCACTGGCTGAGAACAAAAGGTTCTGCCTGTTAAAAAAAAAAACAACCCAGCAGGTCAGTTCCGGTCAATAGATGCATGAGAACCCAGATGGCCAGCATTGATGAAATGAAGCTCTGTCTAATTTAGGAGGCAAGTCATTAATAAGTTAATCACATAGCTTAATGAAGTAATGACTCTAGCCCTGGTTCTCGTGAGGCAGTTATTCCACATAGACAAATGGTGTTTAATATGCAAAGAATCCTTCCTATGTTTTATGTACTGAAATGTAATTATATACATACTGTATTTTACTATCAGTGGGTCAATAGAAAGGAGTATTTGCTGAATTAATAAAGGTGTTATCTTAATATTAATTAATTAATATTTGAATATTAAATTCAATCTTTGAATTTTAATATTCTTTGAATCTTAATCTTAATCTTTGAATATTAAATCAATATTCAAAGAAAATAGCTAGATAAATGAGAAGAATATGCTTACTTTATGTGCTTGTGTATCATATTTGGGGAACAATATCATTTCTGTTCTATTGTAATTGGAGGAGAGAGTGCAGCAGTATATACATATATTATGCTGAATAAAAGAATTTTGTTGTAACTCCTATTTTTGTACCCTAGAAATTCTAGCATTGTGCATAGAAGTCTCATAAAGAATATCAGCTGCGGCCATGTACTAAGTTGTCATTTATTGCTGTCACAGCTGCTTCCTGTCATTATTGAACAAACTGGCACAATTCCAAAGATCAGCTCATATTTTTGTATTTTTCAGGCCAATGGATGTCACCAGAGATAGCACTTTGTTTCAAAGCAACAAAACATGGGCGTGCAGATGTATCCTTCTCCATCGCTAGTTTTCATTCTGCAAATCTTCCCTCTTCACTACTGAGAAGGAACGGGAACAGTATCTCTAAAGATTCTTCCTTAAGAGAAAGCTGGGAAGCTTTCTCCAGCAGAGGAGGAAAAAAAAATCAGGTTCAGATGGAGAACTGAAAATCAGGAAATATCACCTGCAGGGGGAAAAAAGTACATTCTTCCTCTTTTAACTCTGTACTGATTTAAATAAAACTGAAATAAATTTAAATTTTTAAATAAAATGTCTTAGTTAGAAAAACTGCTATCTGACTCCTCCTGACTTGCCTTCATGGCAAGTCAGGAGGATCTAGTATATCTTCCATGTACGTGAATCTCTTGTGAGCATTTTAACAAGGTTACTCTGCGTAAAATGGAAGGATTTTACATACATGAGATATTTGCCTCTCTAGGAACCATCAAATGACAAATCTATCAGTGGAATAGTTCTGTATTGGTAGGAAAAATATAGATTATATCTATATATCTCCACCATCAAAAACTGTTTTTAGTAATTTTTTAGCCATAGTGGAATATTAGAATATTAGTTTCTTATGCTGAATTTAGCACTCCTTTAAAAAAATTGATTTTTTTAAAAAAAATAAAATAGAATTCTGCCCAATACTGCCCAAGTGTGATTGGACATACAAGGAATTTGTCTCCGGTGCATAAGCTTTCAGTGTACATACAAGCAACAAGTGATAAATCATGATCACAATCATCATAAAATACATTCACCCGAAATCATAAGATACAACACTCAGCGATAGTGATACTAAATAAGCAATCAACATAAATCATACCAGGATGCTAAATAAAACAAATAATGTAAATAATGTAAAAGCAACAAAGTTATAGTCATAAGAAGATAAGGAAATATAGGTAATCCTTGATTTATGACCACAATTGAGCCCAAAATTTCTGTTGCTAAGTGAAACATTTGTTAAGTGAGTTTCCTCTTCTTGCCACAGTTGTTAAGTGACTCACTGTAGTTGTTAAATTAGTTGTTAAATTAATTTAACAAACTAGTTGTTAAATTCAAACTGTTGTTAAGTGAATCTGGCTTTCCTATTGACTTTGCTTCTCAGAAGGTCACAAAAGGACACTGCAATTGTCATAAATATGAGTCAATTGCTAAGCATCTGCATTTTGATCATATGACTATGGGGTCAAAAGTGTGAAAACTGGTCATAAGAAACTTTTTTCAGTGTTATTGTAACTTTGAATGGTCACTAAACAAACTGTTATAAGTCGAGCACTACCTGTAAGAAAGATGAGAAGAAGAATAGTAATACAATCCTACTAGGTAGTTTGACAGTGTTGTGGGAATTAGGGAATTAGCAGAGTGATGGCATGGGGGAAAAAAACTGTCCTTGTGTCTTGTCGTTTTGGTGTGCAATGCCCTATAGCGTCTTCTTGAGGGAAGAAGTTGAAATAGTTTATGAAATTTGCTGAAACAGAGATGCCTTTTAAGTGAGGGTCGGGACCCAAAAGGAAGCCAAAGATGATAGCAAAGAGCATGAAACCATAACAGAAAACCCTTGACATATAAAGCAGATAAATCCCACGGAAGAAGCCGATGTTCTCAAGCATCCAGTCACAATTCTGGAGGAATAAATCACTGCTTTTGGCAATCTGGTACTGTGAATTTCAATTACATAGCTCAGTGCTTAAGATGGGTTTGACAATTAGTTATAATGCCTTGTCAGCTCCTGCTAAGACACAAGCAACAGAGTCATTGTCACAGACTACAAGTATCATTTGCCTAGGGCAGTGAGGCAGGATCAAGAGAGAGAGAGAGAAAGCAGAGCAGAAGATCTAGCAGGACATTTTAAGCTTAGTCTTAAAATTGGTCACCAACTTCTAATTTTACTTTGGGGAATGGAGTGGTTAGTATCAGTGACATGCCTTCAGGTATGCCACACTGTATCTGCTCCCAGGTGAAGTATCTAACCCACATTTTCTGGCATCATAAAATCATAGAAGCATAAAGTTGGAAGGAGCCATTTAGATTCCGGAGCCTAACCCCAGCATGAATAATGGATCACTTTTCCATTGTTAATCAAAATTCAGCACTTGCCTTCAAGATGAAAGCCTGCATGTCTCCCTTTTCATAAAAATGATTTGTCGGTATTCAAGACTATTGTACTTATCCCTTTTCCATTTAGCAGCCTTTGATAATGCAAAGATGGCTTGAAATTAGTCCTTGGAGAAGGAAACCCACTCTTGGATAAATAGCCTATTCCTTCTAAGTCTGTTTCCTATGATATAGGATGTCAAGCCTTGTGGGGAACTGATGGGCAGTCTGGATATTCTTGAAGAAAGAATGGGAAATATCTTCCTCTCTTGGAGGTGCTACTGCCCCCATATTATCCCCTCATTTGGAACTCCTTTGTTTATCGTAGTAATGTGACTAAGTGCAATATGGACAGGCACACAGTATGCAGTATAATGTTTTGAAGGTCATCTGAAGTTTGCTTTTATCGCAGCCAAGGATCACTCCTATGTGAGAATAATACACGAAACAACATAAAAAGCACAATCCCTTTCTGTAGTCATAAAACCCTAAAATTAAGGCAATATTTTTCTGCATTAAGCAATGACAGCTCTAAGGAGGAGAGCTACAGCTCATGAAAGTTTATGTCCTAAATAACATTTGCTAGTTGGAAAAGGTGCTATTTGCCCGGGGCCATTAAGAGCAGAGCTAGTACTTTGTAATATTACTTGTAATAAACAAGAACAAACATGTTGGGCTTTTTAATGTTTCGGACATCAGGAGGTTTTAAGAGCCCAAAAAGTAAGTACACACATAAAACCATAGGAATAATCAGCATGATGTTTTTGAAGGTTTGGAATTTTAAAGGTATGCCGGGTATTTTGAGCTTCTATAATGATCAATACTCTCAAACTTTCCCCCAAAGCAAAAAAGGAACACAAAATTTCCTCCAGCCAGGGTATCCAGCTTATATATTTCACTCCTTATGCAGAATTAACACCTATTAATGAAGAGAGGTGGAGCACAGAGTAAGTACTGCATATAGAATAGTTCTCTACAGCCTGATCTTAAATTTGCATCTCACTGAAAAGTATAGATTGTAAGGAACCAGTGCAAAATAAAATAGGCATTTCTTTGCTCCTACCTGTCTAATGAGATACAGCACAGATGAAGAATTGATGCAGTAGTGAGGAGGACATCAAGAGAAGTGCGAACCAAACAGAACATCCTTCCATAAATCCAGTTATCTTGAACCAGTTCAATTGCTCCAAATGGCATCACCAAAACAGATACTAGCAAGTCAGCAAAGGCGAGAGAGACTATGAAATAATTGGTCTTGATTCTCCTGTAAAATGAGATATACAAGCATTGATCCTTAAGTATTAGACAGAAGTTAGTTCTGAATTTAAAATTGGTTACCCATTTACTGCATTATTTCTGTATTAATCAAATGCACATTTTGTTTAATATTTGTTTATTTGTAAAAGTTGTTCCAAAAGGAACTCTATTTCTCCTGAAGGTGAAATTTACAGATTACCCTCATCAGCCATACAGAACTGATTTATATTTTAGTACGTTTTCAATTTGAACAAGCTCACTTCAAGTGCTTTTTCCATTTTTAAAACAATTTTCATTAGCAATCATGGTCAGAAAACATTAGGTAAAAAAACCTATAATTTATCCATCAAAATGATGCATTTTAATTAACACTATTCTGATAGCAACTTGATTTCATACATTTTGAAGCATCCTATTGTATTGTTAAAAATGTTTATGAATATAGAATTTTCTAAAAAGATGGTATCAAACTGTTTTCTGGTCCTGAATGCGGTCATTACTCACGCATGAAAAAAATTTCATTTTAGTATTTGCCAAGCATTATAGACTATATAGAGAGCCAGTTTGGTATAGTGGTTAAGGCATCAGGCTAGAAACCAGGAGACTGTGAATTCTAGTTCCTCTTTGGGCACAAAGCTAGCAGGATGATCTGAGGCAGACCACTGTCTCTCAGTCCTTAAAACAAGGCAATGGCAAACCACTTCTGAAAAGTCTTGCTAAGAAAAGTACAGAGACTTGTGCAGCTAGTGTCTGAGAACTGGTCATGATTGGATGGAAGAACTAAAACCAATCCATATATTGCAGATTCTTTGGAATCTAGAATTAGTATTGGAACCGCAGTAACTATTTCAATATAAAGTTTGCAGCCTCGGAAGCTTTAGCTAGGATCAAAAGATATGTAGATTGATGCCAAGAAGAGAATGACATATAAACCAAGACTCTTGTTTGTAGTTTTCTCTGCAACTGTCACAACTATGAATTGAGAACCTGGAAAAAATTGCCAACGTTTCTCATAAATTCCCTTGCCAGTCAAGTATTTCTGCTTTTGAAATATGTAATAAAGCTTTCCTTCTACATCAGTACACAATGGACTACTCATTTCCTTACTCTAATATTAATTGCTACCTTGAAGGCTTGGAGTGTTTGACTATACTACACACACAAAAAGAAAAGAAAATCTGACACATTTTTGTTCCTCCGCAACAGCTATGTAATTCTGTTCTTAAAGCACTATACAGTAATATTTGCTTTGGATGTAACTGTCCAAGAAATAATAGATTATTAAATTGGCAATATAATCAAATAAAAATACTTGACATAAATAACATACCTGTTTGGAGTGAATTTGCTTGTGTCTCTCTATGTGTAAGTCACACTGCTTATTTAACTTATATGTAGAGTACATCTTACAAAATGTCGGCTTGGATGAATCACAAGTCAGAATTAAGATTGCTCAGAGAAATATCAACAACCTCAGATATGCACACAATATCACTTTAATAGCAGAAAGTGAAAAGGAACTGATGAGGATGAAAAAGAAGGATGCAAGAGTTGGCTTGAAACTGAACATTAAAAAGGTAAGTTCAAGGCTTCCCATCTCATCACTTCCTGACAAATAGAAGGGGAAGAAATGGAAGCAGTGACAAATTTTATTTGGGGGGGGGGGGCTAATATCACTGCAGACAGCGACTGCAACCATGAAATTAAAAGACACTTGCTCCTTGGGAGAAAAACTATGGCAACATATTAAAAAGCAGAGACATCCCCTTGATGACAAAGGTACATATATTTAAAGGTATATATATTTAAAGCTATGGTTTAATATATATATGTAATATATGACTGTGAAAGGTGGACCATAAGGAACTGAAGAATTGATGCTTTCAAATTGTGGTGCTGGAGAAGACTTTTGACTGCAAGGAGATCAAATCTATCAAACCTAAAGGAAATCAATCCTGTTCTTGGGAAAGACAGATACTGATGCTGAAACTCAAATACTTTGGCCACCAAATCAGAAGAAAGGATTCATTGGAAAAGACCCAAGATGTTGGGAAAGATTGAAGGCAAAAGGAGAAAGTGACAGCAGAGGATGAGATGGTTAGGTAGTGACATCAACGCAATGAACATGAATTTGGGCAAATTTTGGGAGACAGTGTAGGACAGGGAGGCCTGCATGCTATGGTCCATGGGGTCACAAAGTCAGACATGATTTAGAGAAAAAACAGCAACTGTGTATGTAAAGAATAAAAAGAGATATCCTATTTCAATCCTTACTTGAAGAAATATAATCATTTTACATATTTTCTCAATTGCTGATTGATATTTACTGGTATTTTCTTTCATATTTTAAAATGCTTTACACACTGGTTAAATATTAAAAAGCTTTAATAAAACAACAATGTTCTTCAAATAGTTGTGATCAAAACAGCAAGCACTGCACAATTTATTCAAGTGAAATAAGGCTCCTTTTTTGCTATGAAGTTTTGTGTGGCAGAACAGAAGCAAAATAAAAATAAAATCACGTATTAATGATAAGTAATGGTATAATTATCTGTTCTAATGCTTTAATTAACCAAGCTTGAAAACAAGATTTTTCAAAAATGAAAATCTAAGCTTCAAAAAAAAAAAAAACAACCAAAACCTACAATAGTTGGTTTTCAGGTTTTGTTCTTTTCTTTAAATTAAGAAATCTTTCCGACAGGTTAATAAATGTTAATCAATTCTGAAAGATATATATTTCCTGGAAGGCATCAATAAGACACTAGTTTCTCTCTAAATTATTTTTAAATAAAAGTCTCTAAAACATAATCAAATTAAATGGGGGATGGTGCCTAGTGGTTATCAAGGCAACTGCTGCTCAGAACAGTAATTCCTATGGATGTCAAAGACTGACTCGGGAATTAAATTTTTCCAGTTGTTTTATTTTTCTTGTTTTTAAATGCTTAACTGTATTTAGTACATCCAATTTTTCTTTGGATAATTTATCTACATCTTTAAAAACCTTCATTGTTCTCTCTTATGTCTGTATAGTCAGGAATTATTTTTATACAGGCAGCAGAGGTCAAAGTGAAAACTCTAATCCACTGGTTCTCAACTTTTTGTTCACCCTTAAATACCTTTTGTGACCAAGGAACCCCAAGATTTAAAACATAATATTTCTTCAAGCCTTCACAGAACTCCTGTGATGACATTGCGGTCTCGCAGAGCTCTGAGGAGCAAAAGTTAAGAACCACTGCTCTAATCCTAATAAGACTATGGGAACTTTATTAAAGGATTTCACCTTAAGAACATCGTGCAGCACATTCAATCAAATCAATCAATTCTTCAAAAGGAGTTTAGCATATACCTTCAGTGATTAAAATCTTTTTGGCTAAGATCCAAGTCCAGCTACTTTTTGGAGTCCTAAAAGTAGGAGCTGGGCCCCTACAGATCATTCCTTCTTGGAAAGAGTTCAATTTAAATTTTTGAGACCCATTTCTTTAATCCCCTTGTTGCACTTCAAACTTGGTCCTTCACTATGAAACTGGCCTACTGCTGTCTGGATTTTCATCTTCTCCTATTGTCTTAAGATATCTTTTTTTTCAGCTGGCTTGACCCCTTTAATTACGATTGAGAGCTTTCAGTCTCCCTGGTGCCAAGCAATACATGCCAAACTACAACTCTATGGCTTTTCTGTTACCACTATTACCACTTTGATGGGTTATGAATGCACACAAGCTGATCTCAAACAGCAGGCCATAGATTTAGAACTTCAAGCAGACTTTCCAGTTCTACCAAGAAACACCTTCTTGAGCCATTCTGCACATCTTCTCCAACCAGCTAACTACCCACATAATGATCCCAAAATTTAGAAGTGCTTTCTTCTTTCAATAGCCATTACTAAAGGAAGATACCAAAACGACCCCTTTGAACAGAGATTTTGCCCTGACAAAAAGCTTAACAAGAATTTAAATGGTTTAATTTAAATTTGAGATAATAGGATGATGGAGCAGGAGGAGGGGGAGAGGAGGAGGAGACAAAAACGGATAAAATATATGGATGGACAATATCCATATTGAAGAACAATATTTCAATATCAAATTAAGGATTAACAATGTCAGAATACTATGTAAGAGCAAAAAATATAAAATTGATTTGTTTCATGAGGGATGAAGGTAATGAATATTTTTATAAAATATTGGAAACCCTTTATGAGCTTTTTGCTGAAACTAGAAAAGACTATCACTGGTTTTTGGATGGCGGATTGAAATGGAAAGAAGTGATATATGTAAAGTAATTTCAAAGGGGGAAGAGGGATGTCACATTTGCTGGTACTTGATGTAAAGAAGATTGGAAGTCACTCTTTAAATATGTTTGTTCTTTTTTTATTTATTTTCTGAATTTTCTTTTCTCTATATTTCTTTTTTCCATTCTTTCTCTTTAAATAATTTCATTTTGTATTAGCTTTTATTACTGTTAAAAATCTTCAATTAAAAACCATTTTAAAAATAGAATTGTAAATGCTAGACATTTGCAGACCAGCTACATATATTCCAATCCCAAATACACTGCCAACATCAGAAGTTTGATATGACACTAACAGCCAGGCATGAGCGGGAAGCAGAATGTTCTTTATCATACTGTTGACATTCAGTGTTGTTTTTCATCTTTTTATTTCACTTTTTGTGAACCTCTTTGAAGCAAAGAGATTGACGCTAACATATGCAAGGACTCACCTCAGTTGCCTGTCCCTGCATACGGCAACCATCACCAGTAGGTTTCCCAAGATAGCCATAAGAATAACTGCTGAAATAAAAGTGAGCAGTGTAATCTTCTCTGCCACACCAAATCCTTCAGTTGAGCTGTAAAGAAAAGGTACAGATGTAAACCCTCAAGAATATAAATAGGCAGTGCCAAATTGGTTTGGTTATTCTGAGTCTCTGTACATAATTTAGCTTCTTCGTCTACAGAAACCACACTAATTTCCAACAACTAATGGTTGTAAATAAACATAATTTACAAGGAAACTGGTCTACTTACAGGGTAAGTAGAAAAGTAAGAAAAACAAACATTACATGTAAGGTGACCAATCCCTAACACCACTCCTATTTTGTAGTTCAAAACTTCAGGACACATTTTACAGACTCTTTTTGTAATTAATTTTTCAACCTATATTTAGAATTGCTCTTCAATTAATTAATTAATTACCCAGAAATTTAATTTATATATCTTGGTTTTATTAAAACAGGTGGTTCAGACATGCAATTTTTTGAAAAAAATATAGAACTGACAGTACCTATATGATTATGTTATCTAGGCTGGAAAATTACTGTAAAATAATTTCCTACTTAGTTTGCACCCAGAATCCTCTAAGTCAATCCCTACATCAATCAGAGCAAGCACACTAACCATAAATAAAATCTCTTTTTTTTTCATCCATTTCTTGTGGTGCTGGGAAAACTAGCAAGAAGCTGATAATAGGAGATTATACAAAAAAAAAAAAGGTTGCATCCTAGTCAAGGCCATTACCAACATGTTAGATAGGATTCCAAAACAAATCCCTCAAATCAGTTCAATTGTTTCAACAATTCAATGTTTTACAGGAACTCTCTTCAAAAGGAAGCCATATGCAGAGAGATATTACAGCAAACCTTTGTGATTACCATACCTACATAAGCATTTTCCAGGAATAAGCACTAGCCTATAATGGGAATATTGGTCCCAGTTAGACTCTGGGCATTCATGTTAATGGTTACATTAGAACAACTACAAATTTGCATGTAAGAGAAATGCTATTCCATCCCATACAGGTTGAGCTCCTCATTTTGCTCAACTGATCACATGAACCTGTTTTTGTCTGTTTGTTTGTTTTTTGGATTATGCTTCAATATTGTTCCCCAAGATTTCCTAGCTTTCTTGAAATGTGACAGAAAAATGGGAGTCCCCATAGCAGTATATTTATGTGACGCAGCCGTGTTGTAGTTCTGGGATACGAACATTCGGTTGAAGTCAGGAAAATAGAAATCTTTGAAGCAAGAGATTCAATTTGACAGTCTTGGATCCCTTATAGCCAAGGCAGAATGTAATTCAAACTACACTTGTCTTTTCCATCATAACAACAGTCTTCAATGTTCAACAGTCTTTTTGCTTGTATAAGCAAAAAGAAAAAATGGCACCTGTTGTGTAAAGGAAGTCACCTTGCCCTGAAAGAATGTCCAGAGAGAACGAACTTGAATTCTGGGAAAGTAGATGCAATTCCTAATTGTATTAATTACTGAATCTTTAAGTAAGAAGAAACTGGAACATATTAAACCATAATTGAGTAGGCATTAATGAATTATTATAGACAAAGTTGAATCAGATAAAAATGTTAATTATGGCCTGTTATAATTCTGAGATGAACAATTATAAAGTACTTCAATTAATATCTGAATTCAACCATTATTAAGTGATCATACTCTTTGGGATGGAATAACCTTCACCTCTCCTTCATAAAATATTGGATTCTTACAAGTGTTCTGTCATCCGTTCATAAACTGATAATGACAAACTTACACAGTAGCAATTCATTGAACCTTATTTTAATATTCTATATTTGGTTGTCAAAATGAAAACTTTTTTTCACTGTTAGAGTAAAGGAATTTAAACAGTTCATTTTGCAATGTGGTACATTATTTCTACTATTTCCTTTCTAATACAAAATTTATATAAGATGTGTTTACATAAGTTTTCACAGCAACTCAACTCAAACCAGCTAATTCTTTATGCAAGCCTGCATTGTAATAGATTATTTTCCAGAAAGGAGTTTAGGGTCCACAAGTTATATTTTAAATCAATTTCCTAAGAGTTTAAAATGCAAGCAAAATCCTACCCTATATAAGCACAAGTGGAGCATATTTGAAAATATTATCTTTGAATCTGGAAGATCCAGATTTAATTGTCCACACAGCTATAAAGGGCACTGAACAATCATATGAATTTAAAGTATAGTACATGGGTTTTCTATAATTTAGATTGTTTAAATTGTACATATTATTAGGTTATGCATGTAAGAACTTTACACATAATTTACTAAAAAAAAAATCATGAAAAGAGTGGGCATGTGCTCATGATGGTATCATGGAAATTGGTTAGCTTCATTTGGCTGCTTTTATTTTCTTACTTGAACAGTTTGTGATATGTTCCAGAGTCAGCCCCAGTCATGACTTTGCTGTGATAATTGAGTTCTTCCCCTTCTCTGTACCAATAAAAAAAAGCAAATTGATTTCTATCTACTCCATCTGGTAATGTCCATGTAGATAGATGCTGTTTGCCTGTTGGAAGAATTTATTATCTATTTATTTATTTATTGCATGGGGGGGGGCTGTCTGACTCCTAGATGAGTCTGAATGGTTTACATTCAAGGACAGGAAACAATAAAACAGAAAAAAAGCATATACGTCCAGAAAAAAACACAACTTAGCAAGAAATCAGTAACTCTCATGAGCTGCTATCCTAATCTTAGGCCTGGGAGCAAAGCCAGATCTTCAAAATCTTCTGAACTAACTGAAGGGGTGAATCTTAAGGAGAGGTATTGTTCCAGGGGGCAGGCACTGCAAAATCATTGGGTTGACAGAAACTGATAAGCCATTCTCATTTCTGTTTTTTAAGTCATACAACTGAACTATGTTTTTTTTCCTTTTCATGACAATTTTTGGCATTCCAAACTGCAACTCCAAGCGACATACTGTAACTTGTTTGAATGTTTTGCTGAGTTCAGACTGCACTAGACCATAACACTCATTAACCTTGTAAACATAAATTTGGATGAATATCACAGTAAAGGGGTTGTCCACAAAATCATTTGGCATTGACTATTCTGTGTCCCAGTATTGGTCTTTTTGTAGACTTCCTGACTATGTAAACAACATCATTCGTTCTTTGTTCTTTATGTCCTAAGTAGTAAACAATTTGATATTTTAACTGAAAAATCTGATGTGCAAATCCTATTCATTTCAATTTTGTGATGTGTAAAATGTCAACATGTAGTTGACATATTTCAGCTTACATTGTCTTGAGCTTTCCTTTGTTCATGTTTCTCACATTCCATGGTCCCACTGTAATTCTACCTTGGCAGCTTCAGGTTTTCTTTTTCTACATGGCAACATCAGCAACTTGACTTTCCAAAGATTTTTATTCTAGCTTTATTATAAATATCATTAGTACTCCAGATGATCCTCAGCATTTCCTCAGTAACATGTTGAGTGACATCTGACCTTAGGGGTCCATCATTTGACATTATATCATCCATCATGGTATAATTTTTTCCCATATGGTCGTCTTGGTAGTATATAGAAATGGTTTACTGTTATTTTCTCCCATATACCATGAAATGATCCTTTTGTCATGATTAACCAGATAATCACGAACACCCAGCATTTTCCTATGTTGCTGCTGCCAGCGTCAATGGCTGCTTGCTTTAGCTGGGCATTTGGTATAATTTTCATGTCTTGGATGACTCTGCCAGGGGCATATACTCTTTTCATTCTTCACTAATTTCTACATGTGTAAACTCCCATGAAGAGGTTGCATAGGAAGTACTTCAGGACTTTGGTCCACTTTAATAATTTAATTTACTAAATTTAATAATTTAATAATAAAACGCTGAGCTTGTTGAAAGGTCGGCAGTTCAGCGGTTAAAATCCCTAGTGCCGCATAACGGAGTGAGCTCCCGTTACTTGTCCCAGCTTCTGCCAACCTAGCAGTTCGAAAGCATGTAAAAAATGCAAGTAGAAAAATAGGGACCACCTTTGGTGGGAAGGTAACAGTGTTCCGTGCACCTTTGGCATTTAGTCATGCCAGCCACATGATCACAGAGATGTCTTCGGACAGCTCTGGCTCTTTGGCTAGAGAGATGAACACTGCCCCCCAGAGTCGGGAACGACTAGCACATATGTGCAAGGGGAACCTTTACTTTTACCTTTATTCATATGTCTCCTCTATTAATAGATGGAAAGCTTGGACAGTCTTCCAATATTTGAAGGGCTGCCACAAGGAAGAAGGGGCCAACCTATTTACCAAAGCACCTGTAGGCAGGACAAGAAACAATGGATGGAAATTAACCAGGGAGAGAAACAATCTTGAACTAAGGAGAAAATTCCTAACAGTGAAAACAATTAACCAGTGGAACAAATTGCCTTCAGAAGTTGTGGGTACCCCATCACTGGAGACTTTTAACAAGAGACTGGTCAGCTTTTAACAAGAGACTGGTCAGAAATAGTATAAATCTCCTGAGAGAACAGGATTGGACTAGATGACCTCCAAGGTCCCTTCCAACTCTGTTACTGCTTTACGATTAGGTTACACCTAACCCTTGTCATTACTAGTCCCACTACCATTGTATTCAGCATAACAATTATTTTTAAAAAAATTTGATTTATATGCCGCCCTTCTCCGGAAACTCAGGGCGGCTTACAATGCGTTAAGCAATAGTCTTCATACTTTTGTATATTTATACAAAGTCAGCTTATTGCCCCCACAAACTGGGTCCTCAATTTACCTACCTTAGAAAGGATGGAAGGCTGAGTCAACCTTGAGCCTGGTGAGATTCGAACTTACAGTAATTGCAGACAGCTGATGTTAATCACAATGCTATCAGTCTGCTGAGCCACCAGGCCCTTTCTAAATTTCCTGGAAGAAAATTTATGGAAGAATTCCTTTCACAATTTTGCATTATGTATAAGTAGTGCTCTTAATTCTGTGCTGAGTCTCTACAATCAGAAAAGGCTTTCCAGTTCAGATGTTATACATGGTAAAAGTGCAGAGGAGAATGGCTTTAAAGACAGGGATTCATGCATGGCTCCTTTCCATATGGTTACTTTAC